TCACGGAATAAAGTCTATATTTATTTTACAAAACAATTAATTAATTAATTATCTTAGAAGGAATTACGAGATTTGTACAAAAATGTTTTCTATTTACTGAGTAACTTAATCTATTTATTCGAAACAAACACTATCGAACACCCCAACGTTTACATTATACAGAAAAGCAAAGACTTAAAAATAAAACATAATCCCAATGTTTGCCACAAACAGTGAAAACAAAATTAAATTAAGTTAGTATTTTTTGCCCTATTATCAAGTATAGCGCAGACTCCACTTGATAGAGTTTAAAAATACTTATTTAACTACTTCAAATTTTTTAAATGAGAAGTTTAAATTATAATGTTTGAAATTTTTTTTATTTGTGTTAAAAAAATTTTCATTCATTTTACGTACCGACATCGAGAAAAATATAGTTGTATATAAGTGTATTTGATACAGAACAGAAAGATATGTACGATATAACATTATATTTAATAATATATTTTTTCATTCGTTTTATACTACCATATAACGATAATATCAATACTAATATGTAAAAGTGTCAATCTGTTTTTTCTTTTCATGACAAGTGCTGAATGATCTCATGAAGCTATTTATTGTATTACAAAAAGGGCACAGGTTAATTTTCATCATAAAAGGCAACGTGTAGTTTCATTACATATACATAAATTTACATGTGAGAACATGCAATTGCGCTTCCATACTTATCTATTCAGGACGTATCGGTAGTAAGACCCTGTTAATTGGTTTAATTACGTTCGCCTAGGCAACATGTGAATACGTCTCCCACAAACAGCTCCGAACCAGCATAACTGTGTTCATTGTGTACGTATTAACCGGTAGACAAATTCTGCTACAGATTAATTGCTTTTGTATCATAATGTCGTTCGTGGAATGGAGGAAACAAGCATTTGTCTGTAACTAGAGAGAATTAATGTCGACGTGCTACGCAAAATAATTAACTGCCGTTTGTTTCTTTGCTCGATTAGCAAAACATAGCTCATTCACTGCTGGAAAATCTTTTTGTTCTTACTTTTTGCTTAGAAATAAATCCAGTCTAAGAAAAAGTATTTTTACTTTAATTTGTATTTGAAACAAAGAAACGGTACATTAATTAGCAATCTTAATACACTATTTGTCTTATACATACAAAAAGTCAAGTCATTACTTTTTTATGTAGGTGGAATGGTAGTCAAGAAAAATCCCCGAGAGCTGTTTACTTGACAGTCCATCCAATCATAAGTGGTAAATTTCGACTACTTAAATAAAAATCACATATGTAATAATGTGATGTCTGTCTAATGTGTTGCCTTTTCTGATGACTCAGGTGTCTACGCATATGATTCTGTACAAAGTCTGGTATGTAACTGACTGGCTAGATACCTTGGAATAAATAGTAGCAATAATAAGATTATTGCTCCTACAGTTTATTAAGAACATAAAAAGAAGTACTGAAATTATTTTCAATTGAAACGGATTTTCTAGGAACGATTCTGAGTGGCTGGCAATTAGTCTTTAAATGCCAAGTACAAAAAACTTGACTTTGATATTCAAAATATTATATTCTTTTCCAATACAGCATTCTCTTTTATTCAATAATACAACGAACTTATTACACGACTAGACAATGAAAAAAAATTTATAAGTAATGAACAAAATCATGTAATAAGTAAACCGTGTTGACGTAAACCGAGACTTCTATTAAAATCTCTGATGAGGCACCCTAAAATTCTGAATGCCCGGACTGTATATTATTTTCCACCCTTTCGGAGACGCGGGCTTCGGCTAATATTGTCCTCCACCCTTGCCGATATAAAGGTGAAAAAATAACTTTTTTAATTTTTGGTAATGGCCTTGTTATAATCGGCTTATTCAATAAATACTCTCATTTTTCTGTTTAATAGCAAACACTTATAAAACATTACGTACATGAAAAAATAAGACTATTGAAATTGAACTACAATATCTAGAAAATAATTGTTATTTATTATTTATTAATGTTATTGTTACATGCGTAAATAATAAATATTACTCATTATAAAACCTGAAGAGTATGTATGTAAAGTTAAATAGTAAATACACTTTTATACAACAATTCTACTTGTATTCACAGTTGCTAGTAACTCTGTGGTAACAGGGTACGAATAGAATATATCACAACATCCTACAAGTGCCGACTAGAGAATCAGCAGAAAAGCTTATGGCGTCAATGCAAGAGAGGGAAAACTGGAAACAAAATCCAATAAGGAACCGCCTGGTCACTGTGATAACAATAAGATGAATTCTGTAATGAAATGAACTACATCAAGCAGTGTGACAAGGGTTGTCATGGCAATGATGCCAACGACAACTATTGATTCAGTAGCAGTTTCCAAACTAATTACTGTAGGATTAATTTAGTTAGACGTTGCAGAATGCATGCATGAATGCATTTCGCTCGACAATATTCAAACCACAACAATCCTGCCCCAGGTACAATATATATGTACGTATAATTACAATAGATACATAGTAGGTAGATAGTATATACCTAGGGAAGTTTGTTAGTAATGGAACTATTGGTTCTAACGCTAACAATGTCCTTCGTCGTATACCTACCTCGTCAGACACTGTCGTCTTGGACACCATAATTAAATCCTAGATTGGCAACGATGGCTGAAGTGAACTGACATCATTGTTATTATTTAACGATTCAACCTTACTATTCGGTTACTTGTCTAGGCATACTATTCTATTGTTATTTACATGAAAAATATATCTTGAAAATACTACTGTCTTAAATAATACAAACGCTATAGCGTCTCAGGCGCCAAGATAGCCATTAAATCTAATGAATAACACTGCCATTGCCCTCCTAGCATATTTCGTATAAACGAAATCCTCATTATGACGAAGGAGACGTACATAGATATCGTCTTAAGGTGAATTCAGTCGTCTACACGGCGTATTAGCTGTACACTCAGCTTCATAATTCAATAATAATACGTATAATGTTTAATTATAAAATGTAATTAAGTATATGAATAACTAACTTTTCTGGACGTATTACATTTTACACATGTCTTGTTTCATGTACTTCCATAACTCATGTCAACTATATATCTACATCTCGTTTTAATATAACTTAGACTGGTCTATCTGAGATTACTCGGAAGGTACAAGCTAGTTGGGACACAGAAATAAGTATTCATCCAGACGACTCAGAACAAAGTTTGTTTCGGGCATAGAATATTCATTAGTAGTCAGAAATCGTTAAGCTAAAATAATACGAAAGGACAGAATCTCGAATAAATATCAGAAGCGTTGACGCGAAGTGAAACATTTTGATAGACTTTAATAAATAGCATATCGTTAGATCCATGTTAATTGATACACCTACCGGTTATAAATAAATATAACTATTACCTATCAATAAAGTGTCAAAATAAATTTAAACTTCACTAAACAAGAAATACGTTCAATTTTGTATCTAATTTTTGCAGATCGTTCCGTTTACCAGGAGCGTCTCTTTATATATCCGGTGGGGAGACGGAACCTTTCTCGTTAAGATTTGAAGTCTACAACCCTCTTTCGTCGCGTCCTCTCCTCCCACGCTGTGAGACGTAATTAAACTGTCCGTTAAGTATCAAACATCTCCAAGTATAACCGTGTAACTACTTGCAACTAGTGTCGTCTTGATTTTATAAAAAATAAATGAAAGTCTAGACACGGCGTAGAAGACGGCCATTTTGTGCTCCAAGATCAAAGTTTTATTTGCCAGTTATGTACAAAACTAAAAAAGAGTAAATTCTATATTTTATTTATTAAACATGTTAAAATAGAATAAAATATTTAATATAAATTGTACTTTGCATAATATTTCATTGTTTGACATGATGATTAAAGTAAAAACCAAAATAAAATGAGTTCGTAAAAATTATTTAAGTCACAAAATTAACTTTAATACAATTATAAAATAGCAATTTTAGATGAAACCCGAATCAAAAAAACTAGGAACAATCTAGTATACGTCAACTCTAAAAAAAACTGCACCGTAATATAAAAGGTCGCTATAAAGTACAATGTCACAGAGAAACTGACACTCGCACAGACATAGATACACGTATGTATATGCCAAAAGTGTACCACACCCCGTGTTTGTGGGTTTTTCGTAGTGAGTTAAAAAATATAAAAAAGTACGTTCAGAATTGGCTATGTATCCATGTTTTTTTATAACAAATTTTTCATAATGAAGAAACTCATCAAATAAGGATAGATAACTAGAATCTCTGACTAGAAAAGAATATTGGCAGCCTTATATGTATTTTATTATGCCAAGTCGTGGCAGTGTCAGCATCGAAGATCTTGAGCTTAGAGGTGTAATCGCTTATGGAGCGACTTAACATCGGACAGTTTTGTCGGCTGTTCTTTATTTCTGAGACGGGTTTTCCGACTGACATGGGATATGATTGAGAGTTTTTATATCTACACAAACAAAGTAAGCAGTATGATTGTCTTTAGACATACGTTTTTTCGTTGGCATTCTATTGAAGGATATAAGTATGAAGTAATTTACTTAAATCGTAACGTAGATTCAGATTTACTAAAAACCTAGCTTACATACGAAATTTAGTAAAGAAAAGTTCAGCTATAATTTGAAGTAGATATGTCGTACCTTTAGCCGAGGACAACCGTTTGCTTCAGAAGTTCGGTTTAGATCAGGGTTGCCCAAATTAAAACATCAATCCTCGTAAGAAGAGATTAGAAATCTAATAAAATTATGTATATTACCTGAATTTGGCTCTCGGAACCTCGTCTCCATGATCATATTTTAACTGATTTTTGTATGTATTATTCTTTGTTTATATGAGATAAAATCTCATATAAACAAAGACTATAAATCTTCTACACTGTTTTAAATTTGACGATTATCATATCATACGTCATCACTGGTTCCATTTTGAAACTTGAAGTATTATATTACTATACATTTGATGAATATGATTGTAGTGACTTACCTAATGCTTCCTCACAGGGCTGGCTAAGCGGACGTCGCGATGGCGAAGTCTTCTGTTGTGGCTGTGGTTTTAGAACTTGCGCGGGCACAGCACCTTCTTGTGGTGGCTCCCCTGGGACCTTGACGACCCACCAATCAGGGCGGCCTTGGCAAACTTCTACCACTTCCACCTGCTGACCTTTTGTAACTGTCAGCTCACCAGCGCCTGAGGCTGTGTGTTCTGCCACCACCCACGTCATCTCGGGTCCGGCCTGAAACAATATGAAAATTATATTATTTGCATTTGGAATTTATTCAAAGATTAATTATGGCGACACATTCTTTGATGACCGAAAGGACTATTCTCTTAATAATGCGAAATTTCAAAGTTTACTTAAATAAAAGAAGGCTGGTATATTGTAAATATTTATAGGCTTAATTTAATTTATTACAACAAAACCTAGTTATTATATCTAAAACTTGTTTCGATTCTGAACCCTAAAATGCATAATCACAAGACTGTGGTCCACTTAAGTAATGTTGTGATAAATAAATTATCATACACAATGTTATTCTTAGATCACTCTACTATTATTCAACGAGGAGAGAAACAACTAAGGAGTGTGTATAACAAGTTATTAGTGTATAACTTCCCCCAGGCGGTACGGTATACGTTTTACTACGCGATCTCTCTTATTCATAAAAACATACGCTATATATAAACATATATTGTAAATTGATATTTCATGAATGACTCACTAGCTACGTCCGAGTGCGCGGCATTCTTCGCGTAACTGATACACATTGTTTAACCGGAATAATGGGGCGCCCATCCCCTAATACTAACCCTTTCATTCGTAACTTTTAATTAACAAACAATAACAAAAAAATATCTTATTTTTTTTAAGAATTGTAAATTGAGCCGTAACTGAATATACTAAATTAATTTCACGTTTATATTTAATAACAAAAAGGTTATATAAACGAATTCCATAAAGAAATTTAACATAAAAATGCATTCTAAAACATACGTGTCTCTTTAACTCGCTTAGTTCGAAGCGAGTAAAAATTCAGTAAATTTTCTTCACGAACTTTTGTTTGCGAATTCAACATTCATCTTTTCGCAAAAGCGGCAGTCTCGTAAGTTTACAAGTTCGTTAACGACCTGTATAATATGGAAATCTTTTCGTACAAACACTCTTTATAATTGAATGATGCAAGCGACAAGTAAAATTCATTTAATGGATCTTTAGTATATGATACTAGATAAGATAAAATACTAATTATTGATGTATTTGTGTTATGTTGTACTCGTAGAGCCTAATTAGATAACGTAAGTGTTATTTGAAACACTATTGTTGAACGTGAACTGGTTAGGTATTCTATAATATCACAGAACTATTTATTTCTAACTGTATATTCAATTCAACGAGTTTAACGACAGTTTCGCCACTGAAATCTTATAGTTCACGTCAAGAATACGATCACAATATTAAATCGGATAGTTCGATTAAAGCAAAAACATATATTTATTCATTAAATAATATTGACCTAGCAAAATTCACTTATTTCAAACTATACTTGATTTTAAATTCTGTGTTTTCTACATAATATAATATAGATGATAATAATATTTAAGAATGCAAATAATATGAGAGTCGAACCCGCGTCTATCGGAAACAAGGCGGTTTGTTAAACCGGTAAATCACCGAGACAAACATTAGTAATAGGTGCAACAATAAAACTATTTAACTTTTTACAAAATATTGACAAATTAATATGCGGTTCATTTGATTTACCGTAGCGTGGCTTGCTACATCAGTGGTGCCAGGTGACCTTTTAGTTAACCCAGTATACTCCTACATATATAACTATACCATTTAATAATACATCGTTCAGTCTTTATGACATATACCAACGTTGAGATCAATGAAATGAGTTAAAATGTGATGACATTATATTATTTTTTTACAGTTTTCGTAGCACCTTTTGGATCCATCATTTCGCCAGTAATTATGGTGACAAACCATAATCTCTACCAATATTATATAAAACACAGAGGATATGTAGAAAGTAACCTTCGGAACTAAATTATATCACTATTTAAATAAGACTATTTATTGTGTAAATCTGTATATTATATAAAACTTACTTATGATCACATGGGAAAAACAGAAGAGGGAACAAGATTATAAATATGGTGATGTAGAAAAAAACCTATATCCCCCGACTTCAGGAGTTCGTTACCTGCACAATACTTGTGCAAATATAATTTTGCTAAGAAGTGTATAACAATTTGTATCAGTTGAAACTCTGATAAGTTTGCAACTAGACAGCGCTGTGCAGAAAAGAAAAAGTGTAAAAATTGCTATTGTCGCCCAACTTAGTTATGCAGATTGTTAGCAAGATCAGATGCTATGAAGAGCATGAAAAATGGATTACACATGAACTGGAATAATGAGGAAACGACGGAAGAAGCACGGAAGTTAAATAAAGACTAGTTGTAAAATTGGATAACTTGAACCCTGCGATAATTGAAAGATAAACTTTTCACTTTGCTGCAGTCTGTAACAAGATGGAACATCGACATTATACAAACAAGATGGAATATCCAGCAAGTTCATTAAAATAAATCTAACTCTTAACAGGCAAGAAGAAAAAACAGGTGTTTATATAAAAATTAAATATATATATGTAATATTCGATGGAAAGTATTGATTGTACTACAAATTGAGACGTATCAATCAATTTCAACTTCTTTATTACGGACTTAATATTTAGTTACAATCCAAACACAAACAGGTTAAGATGTGTCAGATATAGGGTATGCGTGAGTGAAGCTGCGGGAAAAACTTATTACTTAATATAGGAACTTAGTTGAACCAATATAGTTATAACAAAGAAATATGCCGTACGAAAGTCATTACATTTCATTGCTACTTTTCTGTTGAAATATTATTAAACATTGAGTGATTAGATACATAGTTAATTTAGTTGATAAAAAAAACAATTGAGTGACTTATTGAGCAAAAATATAGAATAATGCACATTCAGAACACAGACATATTAAAAACATTAGTAAATATTGTTTAATTAGTTTCTTTTTTCCGATTTTGTAACATATAATGTCAATTTTAACAAAATCTTTCATTCGTTTAAATCAACTGATAATCTTGACTGGATACCGGTAGGTAATACGAATTGCTTTAAACTTCTCATTTTCACTTAATAAGTACCTAGCAACTGTTACCATTTATAATCAAAATAGAATCAAATCAAGTTTGACAAAATGTATACAGGAACAATTCGTAATAATTAGGTTAAAAAAGTAATGAACAATAATTGCTGAAAAAACGCAGGCAAATTCAGATCCTGTTCTTTACTTGAGGTAATTGAATAACACACATGCCGTAACCGCAATCTATAATAAATTCTTGTATGTTACATAAACTAAGAATATCAACAAGGTCATTTTAGGGAAACAATTAAATTATAGCTTGTTTGTTATGGACTTCCTCAATTGCATATTGCTTTCAGTATCTGTCCGTAACCTTGGAGACTTCAATTTTATACGTGTTTGAAACAAATACGAGTATTTTTCGAATATAGGAGGACGTCATGATAAGCTTGAGATTTATGCAAACTGCTTGGTTATAGCTACAACTTAATTTTAGTAATGAAAACCTTGGACGGAGATAGGATTCAATATTGGGACATTTTATATGACTATTATTACTGAAGGTTTCACTATATTTGATTACTTTTAAGGTTCATTACCAAAAGTATTAGGAAGGTACAGAAAACTCCATATTCATAGATAGCCATAAACACGTTACTCTAGGTGGTATTTTAGTAAAATTGATTATAAAATATAATTGTGTTATTTTGTAAGGTGAACAACAGGCTCTACTCTTCCACAATGTATGACTCTTTTTAAGTGATGGCAACGTTGTCGACGAAGTTATAACTTCATACGTGAATGATATTGTTCATTAAACTCCTTATAAAATTCTGTCTTATATATTAAAAAATGTATAATTTTCCTATACCGTATATTTCCTATACTATATAAATGTATATTTTTTATTGCTATACCGAAAACTCTGCTTTAACTGATGAAATTTAATATATCTTTATTTAGGTTTTAATTCATCTATCTTTTTTTTTTAAAAAGTCAGACACGGTTATACTGTCTAATGATTCAGCCATAATAGCAAATGTTTCAATTTCAATGTACATTCGAAATAATTGCAACAGCGTCGCACAATTATGTTCTCCCTCACTCTAAATATTAATTAGAGATATAATCAATATTTGGAAGTATGCACTATGGGTCTAGTTAGTTGGTTGAAATAAGGGTAGTTCCGTTTTGTAGGTATATGTATTCGTAATAAACAAACACGGAGGGTGTTTTAGGGATTACAGGGATATTAGTGAGGGAGTGTGTGGATTTTTAATTGCATGACCGGTGCATTATATACGTATATATTATTCAAACACATGCCCGCTATACTTACTTAATACCAATGTTAGAACGATAGTTTTTTTGTATTGTATTGTGAGTAAATATTACACAAAACAAAACGAAATACAGTTTTTAAAATAAGTAATGGCACACTTTAAGAAACGCGTTTCGTGCCAAGAAAAACGCGCTTCTACAGTACGTACTACTGTATACACCCTGAGGTAGTCAACATCAGATGTTTCTTTGCAAATACAGCGATAATGGTAACAGATTGAATAAACGACGGGTGCCGAATGCATTCTAGATTATTTTCTACGATAATTTAAAGAAGATAACTTGTTCGTTCTCATGGATTTTAACTCTTTCTTAGTACTTTAAATATTTTTTAAATGAACACCGTCTATCGTTTCATAATATTGGATAACTATAACATAGTCATGGTCATTATAACATTGGATAACTGCGACCAGAAAATTCCGTCTGTATATATCAGAGATCAGCAAACAGACCGACAGACTAAAATTAAACTACCGTACCTATATACTTCTGATTATCACGACTTCCCAAAAATATTAAAGATCATTTTCTAGTACGAAAAGTTATACCTAACTTGGTTTTTAAATTTAATATTTTGTTTGCAAAATGCAATGAGGTTTCCTTTTACTACACGGCCATTATAAAAGCAACCTCACCTACATTCCATTCAAATTTGAAGTTTCTGACGTTGGTTGAACTTTACTATAAAAGCAGTTCTCATCATTCTCACCGAAATAGCATACAACAAATGGTCGGAATAGAATATAAAAA